GTTTTAAACCGATAAAGTGTTGTGGAAACTTCAAGCATTTGCAAAAGCTTATGAAATGATAGACACAGGAAATCTTTAAGAAACGTAAAACGTTATATGAAAACTGACGTTGCCTCAATGTAATAATCGGGTGTACGAATTATCGCTTTCCTACTTAGGCCCTCGTTTCGTAATATGCCCTAACAAACCGGATAACACTTAACAAACAACCGTATACTTATACATATTATTATAGATACAACATCATTCGGAATCCCGGAACTTTTATTATTATAAATACAAGTTTCTGGATATGAGTAAATTTTTAATCGCTATATGTATACCTTTCATTACTGTGCACTGAGAGAAAAAAAATTACATGTAAGTATATGTTTTAAAAAATTCGTAAAAAAAGGTATAATATTTTTCTTGCTCTTAAGTAGGATTAAGTAATCGTAGACTTTATGTGTAAAAACGGTTTTCCCCTTGTGTGACACACATTTCTGTGTCCGTCACTGGGCGGTTTTATTTCCAGCAAGTAGTTGAAAAATAATTTTCAAATAAGTTTATATTTGGTATTTAAAACCGTTAAAGTGTTATATTTTACTCGCGTATACGGACATTATTTAGGCAGTCGATCAGGCTTCTTTGTCCCACCCGATTGAAACAGTGAATTGTTTACCTGGGATTCAAACCAGAAACTCTTGCGCTTAACTCTATGCAAGGTAACACGTATAACCACACACAAGCTTACACAGAGGCTAAGAATGTAGACATAATGTACATAATTCAATAAACTAATGAATATTTGTGTTATCTACATAATATTAACTGTTCATACATTCCATAGTAATATTATCTTATCATCTCATATTATATGTGTCTGGCAAAAGCCCGATGTAGACATGTTTATGCTATTAGTAATCAATGATAGTAATTCTCTGGTACGTTCGAAGGTACACGGGCTAAGCTCTAATACACATCGCCGTATGTATGAGTAAGTATTTATTGGAACTGGTAGCAGGTATCGTAATATCTTCATCTCCGGTGTCTGGCTGAGAGCCAACTTACAGTCCATATTACATTTGCAGGTAAAAAACGAGTCGGAAAACTAGCTTAAACAGTAAATTAAACTCTGTTTAGATTGAAAAAAATACGACGTTACGGGCGGGACTTGAATTGGAACTCATAGCAATCTGTGCTGCTAATAAAACCAATTCCCGCTGCAATTTCAGCTACCGTATCTAACACATCTTCGAGCTGATACTGTTTAAAATGTGAAATATATTCGTTACCTATTATAACTTATTTGAAAATTATTTTAAATACGGTCCGACGTTTCGGATGCTTTGCAGTAGTAGTGGTCATAGGGTCACTAAAGATGGAAGGTGTCTCTAATGTCAAAATTAAAAGGCTACGCTAGCGCCATCTGTTTCTTCGTAGTTGGCATTTGGCGAAATATTTAATCTTATACATTGTGTATGACATAGGAAGACTGCTGACGGGCTCATCGCTCGTAATGTGTGGCTAATAATCAACAGGTCCTGGCTTAGATCCCCACCGGGTCCAACATGTTTTTAATTTATTTAATTATTTCTCTGTCATCGTTTGGAAATCTGGATATTAAAAATTTCCGAGGATTTAATCGCGGTCGAATATAAAACCAAAATAGTTGGATAGCACATCTTACTTAGATGTTAATTCCAGTGGCTTGGAATTTACTTTATAAACGAATTGAGACGTGACATCGAGATTTTGTCTTTGGATACTCAGAAAGCAAATAAAACATGTACCTATAGGGTATTCATAAATTTTTCTTCCAGTTCTTCCATTATGAGCGGAAGAACTGTCTGTACTGAACCGTCTGTACTGTCTACTCCCAATTAATGTCCAAATTTCGGAAATTCACATCATGTTTTAAAACATGAACAAAATAATTCGGGACCCAGTACAAAACGAACGCGTGACCCGTAGTTTATAAAACACCGTTCCAACGATCCGGACATTTATGTATATATATTATATTTATTTATATACATATATTCAATATTATTAAGAGTAATATAACTTACTAAAGTAAAGCCTTGGATATTACAGCGAATCTTAAGTAGGCTGTAATGGCGCAAGTTACTAGAGCGAGCGAGTTTAAATCCACTTATTAAACTTAAAAAATAACAGTGGGAGGCAAAGGTGATGGGATTTTTATGTAACTAACTGGTGTATATATTTACATAACAATGGAGTAAAGCTAGATTTTGTAGTTTAGATAACATTTTGAATGCTTTTGTTGTAGTACGAGTATTTTTTATTTATTTCAGAGCATGTTGTTTCTTTTGACCTATTATTGTAAAAAAGGCCTGCGGCGTTACAACTGCTAAATAATGTTTACACAAAATTAGAACAATATTAGATCAAGTTGATAAACGTTGTCCTATAACTCACTTCTAACCCAAGTAAATTTTCGTATTTTTTATCTAATGTTTTTGTCAAGGAAACTACATCTAAAACGTGAAAAGTGTAGTAGTAGTTTCTGTTTTAGATTAAGCTTAAACAGTCAGTCAGTCGATAATCAGAAAAAAAACCTATTAAATAAAGTATTTACTGTCCGCAGTTTCAGATGTTTTACAAGAGCCCGACCACAAGGAGGCTCTCCTTGACCACGTCCAATTTTCAAATAAGTTTCTCTAACATATGTCGCGTTTTAAACCGTTAGTGTTTTATTTAAATGTGTATTACTCGCGTTAACAACAGACAGTATTAATTTAAGTTCTAAATTCGCATTTCAAACCGTTTAAAGTCATATATTAATACAAATTATTGTTTAACGCTTTGCGGTTGTACATTGTACTGTGGAAGTCATTCCTGGCTAAAAGCATTGTGGCTATTACAAACATCCATTACACTGTCCGCGGTGGCAACACTTAACGATGGAATTTGCAAAGTTACCAGGTGTACCACAAATTACCTGAATAATCTCAGGGTTTAAGCCAGAAAGCATAAATATTTACATATGAGGCGTCAAAGACTAAGATTCTTGACATTAGTCAAGATTTTATTTGTTATTGTTATTAGAATCAAATCAAATGAAAAAGTAATTGACTAATAATTATTATTAAAAATAAAATATTATACACTTATGACCGTCAATAATTAAACATTAAATTTACATTTACTATCAGTTCCATATCAAGGGCGTAGAACGAACAAAATGAACTGGCAAGAAACTCGCTGCCACTCCTTTTATCATGAAGTTTTTGTTACAATTTTGTAATGCATTTAATGTGTACATATTTTTCCTTATTAAAGCGGGTTCCTCGAAATCCAAGTATTGTCGAAGTTAAATCTGCTACGACACAGACTTGGAGAGAACAGATGGCGCGTTGCTAGTATGGTTAATATTTCGCATGTGAAACCGTTAAAAGTATTTTATTTAAATAACTATATGGCTTTCCAATTAGTTACTTTATCGGGTCGCCTCAAAAATATAGGTTATAGAGATGAAGCCTGAATAATATCTTTAAAAAGTAAAGCAAACATTAAACACTACATACTACACGCCGCCATCTTGAATTATAAAACATGTTCAAAAATACATGAAAACTAACTGACCCTATGCAAGAACTGGATCGAATTTTAACACACAAATATAGTGACCATATAAATACATAGATAAAAGTATAGATGTATAAATTTTCATATTTTATCATTATAAGTGATTGCACGTTATTCCTAATTTATTAATTTAATGGAAGCAGAACAATGAATATGTTATCTCCGATATAGATCAAATGCATATCAGCTATTGTTTCAATATTTTGTATTGTCTGTTTGTATATTATATAATTATTGTTTTAATGTTAAATTCACAAGCTGTGATTCTTACTAGTTAGCTGGTATTATAACTCAATGCTAATTAAATCGATTAGCGAAACGGTTTGTCGCACACGCAAGGATTACATATAGTGCTTATCTTTACAAGTATTAAGAATCCAATTTTACATAGGACAGTTTCATTCAGATATACTGTCACGGATATTTTTTAGATCATTTAAAGAAAATCATTCTTTCATACATTTTTTTGGTTTGTATAACCGCTTCGCATGCAACAGGAGCCCGTAAAGATTTTCCCCGTTTTTTCCACATTTCCTCTGTTTCTATGCTACTCAGCAAACAAAAAAAAATATAGTACAGATATTTCTTTAAATAATTTCACAGATAAAATATTATATTATATAAATAAAATATAGTAAATTTTATGGAAAACGGTAATAAAAATAGTAAGGCACGCAGGACGCGTTTTCACTATACTACAGGTACTTACCTTATTGATTCTCCTCGAGTACTTATTGAATTACTTTTCCATTCATGGGCTTTCAACTATAATGTCACCGCGCTTGGTACATGCCTTTTGTACGATATAATTAGATTTTCGGTCTAAACTTGGATTCGGTAAGTAAGAGGGAAAATTTATGGACAATTAAAAAAGCATATACGGGTTATTTTATTACAGAGGAGGAAAGACAAGCATGCCGTTCACTAGATAGTAGATGAAATACGCCAGCTATGTAATATCTAAACAAGATGTGCTGTCGATCTACTTTGGCTTTGGATACTCGGCTAACCACAGACTGTAACCGAAACGCGTTTAAACTTGACGGCTTAATCATTTGTGCTTCGAGACCGGACGGAATTTTCGATTCATATAACCATTTAATAGACTTAACTAACCATTTTGATATGTGATTTTTTAATACTATATTTCGAATTTTTATAAATAATATCCAAGACGATAAAATGCAGTAATATTTTTAAGAAGGTTAAAAAAATATTTGTCTGGCTGAGCGTGAATAAATACTGTTTAATATTCTGTGTTTTAACCAGTTTAAAAAGTTCCGTTTAACGATGAACATTTTAAACGAATAAAGGAAAACTGGACTTTGTAATTGAAATAATAATTTTTATAATTGGTCGATTAGTTTAGGTTTGCGTTATTAACTATTTTTTTGATGTTCCAGGTCAAAATGTCCACTGAATACCTATCCAAGGACATACTAGAAGAGGTCTACATTCGCTCATTCTCACCGTTTTATACCCTCGAAATGATTCTTGGCACAAGTAGGGTGTACGTCCACGATAGATTTGTTATGGGCCCCACATTTACGCAGAAAGTATATTCCTTGATTTGCGCGATGATTACGTTTTCTATGTACGCTTACGTTGCAGTCACGTACTTTCAACAGTACCGTGATTATGGTCTTTTATACTACGCATATATGGCACTTCTAGTATTCCATTACATAAACTTTATCGCCAACTTCGTTCACGTAAGGTTTCGCAATACCGAAGCGAATGCTAAATTTTACATCCAAATGCAACAATTGGACCGGCTTATGAGACTAGACCATGGTTGTATAAACAATATTCTGTATTTATACAATGTGTATACCGTGGTGTCATCTATGTGTATTATGGCTTTGGTCTTCAGCAGCGGTTTATTTTTGCATTATCTTCTCGCCGTTGGATTTATCGGAATTTGCTATGGCATTCTGTGTTGTACGTTAGAATGGCTGCATTGTGCGAGCCTGCTTATATATTTCTTCCTACGCATGAGGTTTATTAACGCCATACTCGTGAATTATCTTGAAGGTAAAATATTTATAGCGGACGCACATAAATGTAGGTTACCAAGAAAACGTTTGATGCGCCATCTAGCGGCTTTGACAAACGATTTCGAATTGTCTCCTGTGGACGAATATGTGAAAGCGTTGTTTTCGACTTTTACAGATTTTCAGAATCTTTACAGGTTTCAAGTGAGTATTGTTTTATTCTTTTTAATTTAACGTTTACAGTTAAGCTGCTATTCGACACACGAGTATATGAATACAGTTTTAATTAATAATAAATCTCTTATATTCTTCACATGTTGGCAAGGTATTATTAAGAAAAAAATATTTAGCTTGAAGAAATTTAACGACACGAGCGGGCTTTGAGCGTTCCGTGCTGCTGCTGACCAATTGAACTACGGTATTCCTTGAGTAAAATGTTTCTTGCGTAATAATAAAGGCTCTACTTTACTTTGGGAAATTCTACATATTTGTATAGATATTTTTTTCAGCTTTCCAGCGTTACTCAATTATTTTGTGATTATAACATTTCTTTGCAGCTACTTCAATTTTTCTCTATTTTCTTTGTGCACACATTATGTGGTTTTGCTATTGAAATTCTCGGAGCGCAGAAGGGCTTAGTCGTATGTATATCTAATAGTCAAATGTAAGCTTTATATTATGACATAAGTGATAAAATTGTATATATTTTCAGAATCAATATACATGGGTAGAATTTTTGGATATGCCCACTATAGCCGCTTGTTATCTCCTTTTAGCCGTGGTGATATGTGTAAGATGCGAGGTTTTTCAACGAGAGGTTAAACAAACGAAACGCCTATGTATTACTATACTATCTCAGCAGTATAATGGTATGTTTCTTAATCGGAATGTTAAAGATAATCTATACTTACCAACTAATTAAAGAACAAAGTACTATTAACTTTTTATGAAATGAGGTCAGACGGCTGTCGTGGTGGAGGATTTTTTCTCGGCTTACTGCGCGTTTCCTTACTCGAGACTTACACATCCTGATGATGGCATCAACTTCTAATGGCGAAACGTAGGGAATAAATTCTCCATTCTCAAGGCCAAACAGGTCGAAGAGCTAATAATTAAAATTAAACCTACAACTCGATGATTGTTAGTAATACATTGCTTATCTTGAAGTAAGACTCATACGCACGCACGATGTAGGCGAGATTGCTGGAAAAAAGAAAGAAGATAGAGTGCTTTTTTTTAAATAAATAATCCAATCAGTAAAAAAGAAAACAGTAAACTGTCTACCTCATGTATAATATAAGGTTAATTTTAATCTACATCATGTAATACTAAAACAAAAATAATGTAATCCCCAGGAAACATACGGGAGAAGGCAAAACGTATACTCCAGACCGTCAGCGCTTGTCCCCCGGAGCTGAGCGTGTATGGAATGTGGACGATAAGAGGCACTGTCGTGATCCACATCATCAATGTGATAACTACCCTTATGATTGCTATGCTTCAGTTTATGATTTTATAAAAAGCTTTAGTAAAACATATATGGAGCATTAGATTAAAACTAAATTACTTCTATAGTTTACCTTGTGTTAGCTACTTCCTTGTTAGAAATATTGATTACGAAGACAAGAAATATTGAATAGGAAATTTGTGTTAGGTTAAAAATATAAAGATAGGTATAATTTTTTGGAGAAATTTGGAATATTGTTCTTGATAATCTAGATCCAATTTATAAGTAATTTTTGCTTACATTATTTTAAACGCTAAAGAAATCAGAAATAGATCTTAATTACCAAAATTTTATGTAGTCTTCTTTATACTACAGTATAGATGTCTCCAATAGCTAGTACGTTCCTTGCTTATTGTTTTGTTAATTGTAATTTGTTTAATTAAATATGTTTATTTGAGTTCATTTTAATTTTATCTTTACTATTAAAATAATACATACTAGCTGTGCCCGCGACTCTGTTCGCGTGGAATAGTGACTTGGGGTAGAATTTTAATTATTCAGGCTGTTTATTAATTTATTTAATTGCATTATTATCTATGTTGTAAGTGCTACTTTGCCGCAACACTCTCACCTCACATCACTCCTACACTAACTCCCACTCTCACTCTTAATGCGTAAGTCTAACGTATTTTTTCGTTAATAAACTATAAAATGTCTTCGATATTTTTATTCACCCAAGAAATCAATCACTACTTAAACACGTTGAATAAACGTAAAATTATATTTACAAATAAATAAAAATAATAAAAAATAAAGGCTTTTAATAAAATATCCATAGAGGGCGTGTTCCCACAGTTGAGTGAACCGAAGTGAGCAATCAACCAGCAGAGGTGAGGACATAGCTGTTCGCGACGGTTATGAAGTATATCCATACTGAAAAAAAGGTTTAATAAATATTAGGGATGCGCTAAACTGCCGAAGTACGGGACAAGAACAAGTTTTAAATAATAAGTTAGAACTCTAATCTAATGTATGAAAACTTCAATACCTTTCACGTGTTGCACATGATGGCACTAAGTAAATAAAAAATCGTATATAAATTGAAAAAAATTACGACACGGGCAAGACTTGAATCGGCATTCACAGCGTTCGGTTCTGTTATAACCAATTGACGGTAGACACAGGAAACGGTAGCACAATTCAAATTCAAATTAAAACTTCAAATATTTTACCTTTACTTATTTTTATATATACAATTCGCGGACCAAGCCCAGCCTTGGCTGGGAAGGCTTTCCCCCCCCCCCCGGCGGGGTTTTCAGGCTGGCCCGCGCATAGAAGTACATACAGATAGCAATTGGGTAGAGCTGTTAACTTAGCACTTTGACGGGCTTGTTTGTGTAATGGAAGGAATATATGGGTAAAAATCGTTGGGTCGTGGGTTCGATGCCCATCGGAGATTTAAAATTGCTTACAAACATGTTGGACATTGTCTGGAAGTCTGTTTGTTAAATGAATGATAGGAATATAAAATTCCGTACGGGACTACCTACCAGCATGTGGACCTCATGCTTGTCTGTTTTTCTCTCTTGTTAACATAAAGAGGGTGAATACTAGATTTTAAGAACAACATTTTTAAACTTTTTTATAAAACTTTGTAGAACGACGTAAATTGCAAATTTGCTATTGATAATAAAATCGTAAAATCTCTTACGCTTGTTAGGCGTTTCTTTCGTGCGTAAATATTATATTAAAAATCGAGAGACTCCACCACACTCCAATAAATTATGAACTGCATTTAATCTGACTCTGAAAGGAAAAGGTTAACGCCCCGATTTAATCAAGGTAATGGCAGATACTTTATAACACACCTTGCCAATGTATCACTTAAAGCACCCTAGACGTCAGCCGAAAACTTGCACGGTTTTGTTCTTGTAAAGCAATTTTTAAAGGCGAAAATATGTAACTTTGTTAAAAGTACAACAAATTTGGCTCTATTCAAACATATTAAGGGCGTACTTTATGAACTTGCTTAGTCTATGTCTAAAGATAATCCTAAAAAATAGTTTATGAGTAAGATCCTTTATTCTTGAATCTCTAGTTTTTTACTGATGTGACGTTCATAAGTGTACCTAGTTACCTACGCGAATAAATTATTTCTGACTTTGACTTTGATTCCGGTTCCCTCTGTGGACTGTCGTTAAGAATTTCTGTCTCTATCTGACTAATCCAGTTTATTTACAGTCAAATTATTAATTCGACTTCTGTGCCCTAGGCGACCGAAAAATATCGTTTCCTCGAGGTGTTTATCGCCTTTGTGTTGCATAGCTAGGCAACGTGTTTAACCTTAAAATAGATCATGACTTATAAAAGCTACGAATCGATCGATAGTTTTATTTGAAACAAGTCGATTTGTTCTCTGCCCAACCGAAACTACGTATCAAATTAACAGAGTCGGATATACGTGAAATATCGTTATCTATTTTATACTCGTTACTGCACGGCGATAACTAGATCTGACAATTTGCTGACTCACTTGACATAGGCAACGTCCCGCCGACATTGAATGACAAGTGCTACTACACAATATATACGAGTTGTTGATATCGAAAAAGCGAGACATTACCGTGAAAATAAAATATTTTAACGGTATAAAAAGCGATATATATTAGTAAAACTAATTTGAAAATTATTTTAACTATGGCCCGACGTTTCGGATGCTTTGCAACAGACGTAGTCACGGGGAAGCTAAAGACGGAAGGTGTCTCTGACGCCAAAGTAAACTACTACGATGGCGCTATCTGTTCCGTCGAAGTTGGTATTGAAATGACCACTTCTTTGTCTTTTGGCGATATCTAGCTGTGAAACGGGCATCGCTTTACGAAATTCTAAGAGGTAGTACCTTTTATAGCTGTTTACAGTTAAAAATAAGCACCTAAATTAAAAGTAAGTATTTAATCGAGTCAGTTTGAAAACGTTAATATTTTTGGATGTTATTGCACATCACTATATAATTAAAAAATCGGTTTTAGTTTGAAAAAAAATAAAATCCGGGCTGGACTTGAACCCGCATCTACAGCGCTCCGTGCTGTTGCTCCAACCAATGGAACTACCGTGTCTCGATCGATTTTTAATTTAATTTCCATAATTGGCCACTGACTAAATTCATAATTTGTTTTATTTATACAAAAGATGTATTTATTGCAAGCTCCTTAAGCAAAGATATACTTACTAATTTTCTCGCTGGTAGTAGAAGGCAATTGTCTTAAAATAACTTCTAAATATGGGCGCGTTCGATTCTTTGTTCAGTAAGTAAATATTACCTACATTTATTTGTTTCGACATTAAAGCAATCTATGTCTTTGTTTCGCGTTCAAAGAGATAGCGAGTAGATCTTAGATAAGCGTTTGACATGTGTCATTTTTTTTAAATTTGTTTACATTATTTATTAGCCATTCCTTACAAATAATAAGGTCGCCTGAAATATATGAACGCATTAATATTTTAGTAGTAATTGCGTGCGTGTGTTGTGTAAGAGTATAAATGGGTAAATAAATAAATAAATGTCATGATAACGATATACTACTTGAGTCATACTAAGAAGAAGAAAAATGTGAATAGATTAAAACATATACAGCAGAGGCACCCTTCTCCCCCCATTTCTTGACTAACCTAAAAGATATCCCACGATGAGCACCAACAGCGCAGACCCAGAAAGCCAGTCAAAGTCTGATAAAATGCAGACAGGCTTCAGTAGACATTCACCAGCAATCATCAGCACCAAAAAAAATCCTATTAAGACGGCCAAAAATGTCACCCACACAAACATCTGCACTAACCCTTCATCGTCCTGTAAGAAATGTGAAAACTATGTATTAAACTTTAAAACAGAACGAAACACAAGATTGTAAGAGGGAGACAACAGTCTATTTTTAAGGGGCTCGTTGGTCTAATGGTAGCAATGTACGGCTAATAACCAAGGGGTCGTGGGTTCGACCCCCACCGGTTCCAACATTTTTTTCTTATTGTTGCGCAACACGTTAGATTTAGCTTGGAAATCTGGTTATTAAATGGTTGGTAGGGATAAAAAAATTGCGTCCGAGTCACCAACCACCGTCCACAGATGAAAAGCCGTGAAGCTCGCGTTTCGGTTTCAGTCTGCAGATTTCCTAATGTCAAAGCCAAAATAGGTAGACAGCATATCTTGTTAAGATGTAAAAAACTGGAGTATATCACCTAACATCAAGTGAAAACCTTGCTTGTCTTCCTCTATAATCGTTTGATTGCTAATCTTTTTATCTATCGTTGTTGTTGTTGATGCTACTGTTGCAGATCCAGTCGAATAGTTACAGAATTAAACATGTTAAGCGTAAAAATCTACTGCAAATATTATATAACTCAAAACAATTTTAACTCTTATAACTGAATGTAATGGAAAATCTCTCGAAACGTTCTTAAGTGCTCACGATAAGTACGTGGGTTCAATAATCTTGAATTATTTAAGGTCAAACTTAATGTAATTTCACCTTTTCACGCGAAAGCTTTATTTTCAATTCTAAATTATTAATTTTACAATAAGATCAAGATTGTAAGAAGAAGCTTAGGAGTAAGTGAATGGAGGATTCTTCTCATAAAATAATTTCATTCGAATTAAGTTAGCGAAACCGACCGCCGCTGTAGCTAAATGGTTAAGTGTGTTGCCTAGCATTGTGTTAAACGTGGTTCTGTGTTCGAATTCCAAGAAAACCATAGGTTGTTTCGGTCGGGCAGAGCACTGATCGGGTTCCTCTAAATAAACCCGATCAGTGCAACGGAACCGGAAATATGTTCGTCCCATGCCCCACAGGGGGAAATGGGATTACACGATACATAATACTATTATTTATAGATAAAGAGTTTAACTTACTCCTAAAGTAGCGAAAAATAATACAACACCGGTGAAGATAAATATGAGTGATATCGCCCCGACTCCAGTCGGAATGAGAAGAGCAGTTGATGATACGGCGTGTTCGGGGGCTACAATTACATGTCATATTTCTATATTAGCTAGTATTTATGTAAAAATACATATTAATAAGAAACAGACACGATATTAATAAGATTCGTTCCCAAGTCAAACACACGAACATTTATTTATGTTATTGTCATACACAACACAAACGTGGTCAGTTGAGCCGTTTTCTTTTAGGAATACAAACACAAAATAAGGCACTAGATACTGATTACTGACGTGTACGAAATACCTAAAATCACGAAATGTGGATAATCATTTATTGAAGTGTATTAATAAATAAACAATGAAATACATTAAAATAAAACACTTACGGTTTACAATGCGACACATATGAGTTAATTCAGTAAATGTAAATATGTTAACTCATACATTTCACGTTTGAACCGTTAAAAGTGATTTTTTAAAAGTATGGTTTCAAATTATATATGGCATCCCCAGTACTATTTTAAATTACAAATTATGCGATTAGAGCAGAACAATTTTATTAAGTTATAAATTTAACCTTGTATATGAGAAACATTTTGTACTCGAGTAAAGCTTATATCTGATTTCTTTTCCATGACGCTTAGCCCGATGACTCCAGTCATCTACAAGGAAAACATTTAAAATATTTAACATCTTCCCAAATGTATTCCAAAATTTTCGAATATTTATAATAGCACATGCATACAACCTTCAAAAACAAACATATCATTTTAACATTGCACAAAATCCTTTTTTCTACAACACAGGATAGCATAACACCTTTTAAATTAGCACAGATATGGTTATTTTCATACAAAGAGGCTAAGTAGAGGACGTGCATCCATGACTACTGTTTAAAACACACTACATCAAAAATGGAGAAGGAAAAAACCTTTAAAAAAATCTTTGGAAAAACTTTGGACGATACATAATTCTTATCATTTGTATTCACGAAAATATCAATATTCAAATGTCCAGTGCGACTTTAACTGCTAAATTTACCTAGTTTTATATTGCGGTCATTAAATAAAAAAAATACTTACTATACCTATTATTGATATGAACAACATTCCTACCCTTAAAGATATACCCATACAACATGATTCTACTTCTGGAAATATTTCGCACATTTTGATTTTAAATAACAAACGTAATTTAAAATAAAATACAAATTTCAACACTATAACATCTTGATGGACATCTGGCACAACTGTCAAATATTTAAAATTGGCGGCAGTCACAATAAATCTGTCAGACTTTTTGACAATCATTCACGACAGTTTAGAAAGAACGTTACGAACCACAGATAAAATATTAACTTCCAAAATAAAATGAGGTGAACTATATTCTTACATTATGATAATATCACTTATATAGAATTGCCAGGTTATTGTTTTCGGCACTAAAAAGGTCTTAATTGTAAGAATTATCTGTTTTATCCATTTAAATACCCAATTTTAAATTATACCACATTCTTTTTTTAATTTGAAGCATATTTTTTTTATTAAAGCTTAAAGTTTTATTAAATGGAAGGGTGATGCAAAAATAGTTCTTTTCTCATTTCGTAACAATTATATTGGTTACATACGCAAATTACATACACAGATCCGTTGTAAATATATGTACATAATAAAACGAATTACAAAAAGTCATCGCTACTAAGAAATTTTATGGACATCCGAAGACTGTTGACAACAATCATGAAGTACATTGTTACTGAAACAGAAAGTAAAAAGTTAGTTGCCAGAGCATTTTGTATCCTTATTCTTCAAAGAGAAGTGTGAGAGAGGGACAACTTTATATTGAATCGTTTCTGTGAAACGACTATAAATAGCGGCATAAGGCAAATAAATCATTAAAAAGTCATACTCGATTTTGCATTTCTTCCATTTTTTCTTCTTTTGTTGTCTTACGTACCTTTCCAAACTTAATGCTTCAATATTCATGTATGGCATAATCGGTTAAGATCAGAGAGTAATACGAAAGGAAAATACTTACATAAAACCACTACCACCATCAACGCCAACAGCACAGCTCCAGCCAGTACACAATTGGTATGGACAAAGAAGCAGAATATCACCAAGATGAAGAACAGTAGAACGACCGTACTGCTGTAAACCAGCACACCCCACTGGTATATTTCTATCAGAATCGGAAGGTTCTGCAAATTTTGTTTAGAGAAGGATTAGTTTTCAATATGAGAGATAGATTCCTCTCCAACTCTGTTGTATTTTTTTTATGATAGAGGAGAACAGACAACCATGGTTATCTAGGTAGGTGAAATACGCCAACCTATTTTGGCTTTGGATATTCGGAAAATAGGCTTAAGCAATTTTTCTATTGTATCGTTTGCGTAAAATGTATAAGTAAAGATAAAAATAAACATTATTACTGCAATCGATTTGTATAGCAATGAAAGCTAGTCAAAAGTATGAACTGAAACACTACATTGAATCAACCAGCAACATCAGCTAAAAAAGCGCGCAATATGGCGTTTGATAAGTCTATTCAAACTTCAGTTTGACTTTTAAAAATAATTTAACGATTCAAGATCATGATAATCTTTTATATGAATAAATGATTAATTTATAATATGAAATGTATACTTTTTATGATAAAGCAAGCACGTGCCTTCCCTTCATACGTAATTAAATAAGAAAAGCGTATTGTACACAAAGGAGATTGCATCGATCGCACTCTAGGGCAAAAATAAAAAGCAGCGGTTGCACGTCGCAGAGATGCAAGGATTTTCGCAATAAGTAGAAAAACAAAGTTTTACGCTTCATTAATATTCTATGACTGACGGTTATGTTAGAATTTACTGACTATTCTTAGAGTACTCAATACTCATAGATGCTTAAGGCGTTCCCGGTTCAGATCTATACTAATATATAAAGCTGAAGAGTTTGTTCGTTTGTTTGTTTGGGCGCGCTAATCTCAGGAACTACTGAGAGTTCGAATTCAAAGTTCTGTTGTTAGAGTTTGTTAGTTAGAGCATTTAATGAGGAAGGCTATAAGCTATTAAATGAACTATTAAAATGTCGAAAAAACGGAGAAAATTATTCATCTGCGAAAACGGTTCAAGATACCCAAAAATATGTATGAAAGAATTATTCCTCTTTAGATGTACTGTAAAAAGTTTTCAACCGTATATGTCTATACTGTCTATAGATTACGCGAGTAGTACACATTTAAATAAAACACTTTAACGGGTTAAAACGCGATATATTAGTTAAACTTTTTTGAAAATGATTTTTAACTTCGGATGCTTTGCAGCAGCCGTGGTCTCCCCGTGACCACGACTGCAAAGCATCCGTATAAAAATGTAATAAGTAAATTAGAACTCTGTATTATAATTAAACATCTACCTCACACCCTACCTCAGCCTGCGTTATCTGTGTAAAACTTTTAGAATTTACGAGCGTAAACTAAAATATGTTGTGAATACTAAAGGGCTTTAGTTTTGTTTGATTTTATGTTTTATCGGGTTTACGCGATAGTAACCCTAACTAATTAAAATTAAACCTTTGGAGGCACTTTGTTAGAATGATACGCTTGATTTATAGAGCTTAAAACTTTGACTTTGACTTGCTCGTTGGTGTAATGGTAGGTGTATGGCTAACAATCAATCGGTCTTGGATCCTATCGGGTCAAACATGCTTATAATTAATTTTATCTTTTCTTAAATGTTAACTTCGTCTGGAAATCTGGATATTAAATGTATAATCGCCCCGTGTGTAATCGCGATTATAAACCCGTGTATAATCGCTTTGGTTTCATTCTATGGATTTTCGATCATTCTAAGTCCACATCGCATCTTGTTCTGATATTTCACAGTCCATAATGTGAACCTCGTGTTTGTCTGTCCTTCTCAATCATAAAAAACATTACTTTATTATTTATTTTTTAGTTTAGATATGTCTATGCTATATAATTTTTTAAATTAAAAAAAGGCAGCAATATTCCGTAAAGTAAACACATTGTAGTGTTAACATTTGTAGACTAGAAAGTTGCACTAGCTGTTTAATTAAATAATATAAAAATACTTACACAACAAGCACCTATTAGTAACAACGTGCTGACGAAGCACAGCATTATGGAGACAGCACCGAGCACAATCTGTATTGCGTTTTCCGTAGCTGAGCTGTAATAGGATAAGACAGGGTCCATATCCCAGAATCCCCGTGTGTGCGTCACATTTGGAGCGAAGAGCAGGCCTGATAACTAAAGGAACATAATTCTGTTAAAAAGGATAAAATTTTATATAACTGTTACAATTTTAAACTGTTATTCGATTATGTCTAGAACATCGTACGCGTTGTTATCTTATTCAAGCAACTTAAAAAATTGAGATTCTCAATGCATTATTTCGACATTTATTAATCGCGTATGTAAAACTACCCTCTTATATCGTCTTTAAAATTATATTATAATAATATTTCAGTCATTTCTTTCTGACTGATTCAAGATTCGTCTATGTGCGGAATGTATTTTTTTTTCTTTTCAGTTTCTTTTTTGGTGTTGGTTATATTGTTTTTTTATTATTCAAATACTTGATTTTAAAAAAAAATCTCTTATTCGCTATCCAACTTTTATTAAAACCGAATGGTGTTCTGTTGTATGTAGACTGTTTTAGCCAATTTTTTCAGATGAACATAAGAACATATTTAATTTATAATAAATGGATTCATAGCTTCACTTGCCTTCGTATTAATTATTGCCTTTAATTATTAACTATTATTAGCTTTAGAACGTTCAATAATAATTATATTTGTCCTTAAAATAATTCAAAACCCATAGAGAACACTTCTGAATTCAATGAGATACAAAAATAAAAATTACATCGAGAATCGGTGGGATTGACGCTGACCTTCCTGCCTCAGAAATAAATAAACAGCGCTTGATGAGATTCACCCATCTTAAAGGAAACCTCGCGCGGGTGTTGCCTTTTGATTAGAGAAACCATTTTCGTATCTTTACCTGACAACGACGACCGAAATGAAGGGTTCTGTCATACAGGGGAGTTGGTTTATCCATCTCTGTATATAAGTAAATAATATTTACAAATTATGTTCCTTCCTAACGCCTAAAAATTTGGTTTTTAACCAAAATTTGGTCAGATCAGAGCGCAGAGATAATGTCTTAGATTCAAGTGCCGACTGTGACATCAATTTTTAATGTACTATTAATATTTAAATAAAACACTCTAACGGTTTAAAACGCGATATATCAGTTAAACTTATTTGAAAATGATTTTTTTTTCGGCCGGCGGTTGGGGGGGCTTGGGGGGGGCCGGGGTCAGGGGGGAAACGTGGGGCCGAAGAATTTTTTTTAAATAATTTTAACTAATATATCGCATTTTAAACCGTTAAAGTGTTTTATTTAAATGTGTACTACTCGCGTAAACTATAGACAGTATTTACTATTTATATAATTGCATAATCCTATATTCGTGCCTTCTACCAGAATATTTATTAAATTAATTTCGTTGCTTTTCTTTAACAATACCACATTAAATTCCTACTATATATCCTTTAAGATATAAATTTGTTTTAACTTCCTTTTATACATATATTATCTATGAACCGTTTTTAATGTACTTTTGTCATAACAGTATATGACAAAAGTACATTAAAAACGGTACTAATGTTGTCTGTAATCTTTCCTTATTAAATAACTATATGAATTGGACAACAAAGATGTACAAACATAACATTTATAAAGTTTAACTTGATTATTTGATATTGATATACCCAGGTATGAAATGCCGCTAACGAGCAATTCGTATGGCAAACGTACCTGGCAGAACATGTTACCTTTGTACTTGAATGACTTGGACAGTAATACGCACGACATGATTTTATAGATGTATGTCATAAGGTACCGAAGCCGGTTCGCATAAACCGAAAGACGAAAACCGATTCTTTACCGGTTTAATAGTGTGAAATAAAATGATAATGTAAAAAAAAGTTAAATAAAAATGACCGATTCCGTTCACAATTACGACTTGGATCATGGGAATGACTCTGCTATTTCCTAATATTGTACCAAGCCCGGCAAGTAATAAGCAGTAAATAAAAAAAAATCGGAGAATTTACAGCTGCGGTTAAAAAAGTAAATCAGGTAGCGGACAAAATGGAGAAACTTTGTCATGTTTAAGGAAAACAACAAACACCGAATTGATTACAATATTATGAAATCGTACAAAATATATTTCAAGTATTTTTCTTTTTAAACTCTATGTATATATAAATCATATTTTTTTCATTCAATTCAATCAATTCAGGTAATACAGTAATTCCAGTTTATTTTATGGTTTTACTTTACAAATCAATTATTTAAAAGAAAGGCCTCTGTGCATCATTTATTTATGGCATTGGATAGCGTTACCTACGTTGGTTGGTACGTAAGGTTTGAATCCCAGGGATTACACTTAATGCAGATATAGTTAAGTATTTGTATATTTGAAATTAAATCGTTCAGTGTAACGAACATAAACGTGTTTTCGCCGAATATACGAAATAAACGACTTCGACTTCCTAGCTCGACTTGCTTACCTATTGGTTAAAATAGCAAACGTTTGCCTATTTAACTGAAAAATAAATATTTAAGCTACGATCTACTATAAACGCTGTAGGTCGTGTAAAGCGTGATGATATTAAAATCATTGCACAGTGAACGGCAAATTTACTAGCGTTAGATATTGTGACCATTGGCTTATGTAATAGGTACGCGTAACGCATACGGTATTTATAGGAGACCACAGTCTTATAGTAACAAATACTAACAAAGGAGAACACGGCGATCATAACAGTGCCGGCCCGAAGGAAGCAGCAGAAGCAGCAACTAATGACTGTCGGCAATTTGTCCATATACTTCATTGTGTTGACTTGTATCACTTATAATTTAAAATATATTATTCACTCTCACAGTTACATGTTTGTTGTGAAAGAACTTGACAGTTGCGGGCGTAACGTCTTTCTTGATGGACAGAATTTTTCTAGTTCTATATTGTCTATAGTGGAGAAAATTTTTCAATGGCTAGAACCATTGTTTATAAGCTCAACTGGTAAAAGGTATTTGTATAGAATTGGTTGCAGTCGTGAGTTACGCCAATGTGGCTCCTTTCTTGACTTAACAAGCACTTTTATGTATAGTGTTTATTAATAAGTTAGTTAGAACATTTATCGAGGAACGCTATAGGCTTATTATAATATTATAAGAAAACAAATAATATGTATTATTTATAAAATATTGCGCTGTGACTAATAGGAGCGAAGAAGCAGCGGGAAATGTAAAAAAAAGAGGAAATTTTCATCTCTGTCGGTTTCCGACGCGTACGTTGCGAAAACGGTTCAAATAACCCAGAAAATATATATACGAAAGAATGATAAACTTTTAAATGATCTAAAAATATGTCCATGACACTATATGTCTATCTTTAAAGAATAACTTGCAAGGACGACGGGCCCAGAACGACGGATAGCAGTTTAAACTTATAAAGATGAAAAGTAGAGGTTTGCAAAAACAAACATGATTGCCCAAAATAACTATTCTACGCGTACGAAGTCGCTGACGCAGCTAGTTTTAAAAATGTAATAATTTAAATATTGTCTATAGTTTACGCCAGTAGTACACATTTCTATAAAACACTTTAACGGTTTAAAACGCGATATATTAGTTAAACTTATTAAAAATAATTTTTTAACTTCGGCCCGACGTTTCGGATGTTTTGCAGCAGCCGTGGTCACGGGGACACGTCGGGCCGAAGTTAAAAATCATTATCAATAAGTTTAACCGTTAAAGTGTTTTATTTAAATGTAATAATTTATTAATTTTACATTATAAATCAAAACAAGCAACTAAGTACTTTTATGGAACATAGAAAATTTTTTGTCGCGCTACGAAAGCACGAAGAAATCGTAATCCGATATACCTCAGCATAACTGTAAAAAAATATTTATAGGATCCACTAATTTCACTTTTTTAATTACTGTCTAGAAGTTTTCAAAAATTAAATGTAATTTTAGCAAATCGATCTGTCTACGACAAAGGTCTACGACATTGCTGTTCATCACAGGAAAATAGACTCTCGTGCAAAGGAACAATATACATTTTCCAATAAATTTTGTATAAGAATCAGTGGAAACGTTTGTCAATTATAGAGATAAGAATAATATGATGTGTAATCGTCAAAGCGTGAAGATGTGACTCGTGCGGTCGCCTACCAGAGTAATGAGATCTGTGTAGGGTCAGCAAAAATCAACATTAACACTGGGATCAAAATATATATTTTTTTTATTTATTTACCACTCACAGCTTCTTAAATGTAAAAATTAGATTTTAATTATTTATTTAAAAAATATCATAATTTAACAAACAAGTCAGTAGCCAACTTAATCGTATTGTCCAGCATTTCGTTACGCATGAGAGTTCCCAGATTCGATACCGGAAAAACAGTAAAATTGTTATATACTACTTCTTTGTGAATGAAAATAGATCAATGAAACGTTCACAGAGATGTGTCCTAAGTTCTCAAACGATATTCCTATTCCAATAAGATTTTCAGTTACTATTATTGTAATTTTAGTATTTTGTATTTCAGCAATCCTTTAACAAGAGACCTATATATATGTATATAGAGATACATTGAAAAGTACACAACACGCATAATTAATCAAGGCTAATTAGTCAAGTTTGTAATATTATTAAAATACTGCATATCATTGTCTTTCGGGCTGTTCGGCCGATGCTGGACGATGGCCGTGAAAGCCTTACACAATTTATTAAAATACTTTTACAAAACCTTAAAAAATTTAGAAGAATTTATATTCTTATTGTATTTGTGGGCAGTACATTTGATTTCACGCTTGCTGGGATGGAGCATTTTGAAATCAATTTTGTGGTTAAATGTTGTTGGGCACTCATCCCTTTTACAAGTGTTCTTCAGCGGCACGTACATTAAAAAAACTACCTACATGATTACCTGGTGGAATAGCCATGCTAGGTTACAACCGTCAATCAAATTTAACGCTGGAATGATGTAAAACAACTATGTAAGCAATAGTTAGTAAAGATATACAAACATCAGTCTGCGTATTGTAGGTACGTACGTTTCATACATAATTTTACAAGCATTACTTTTAAATAAAACACTTTTAACAGTTCAAAACGCGAGTTATTTTAGTGAATTTCTTTACAATTACGCTAGCGCTAGTACATTTTACGTTGATATTAGGGACACTCTTCTTCAGTCCACCCGTGACCACGGCTGCTGTAAAGCATCCAAAACGCCAGACCGTAATTAAAATGGATTGTAAATAAGTTCAATAATATAATTCTCGTTTTAAACCGTTACAAGTTTTTTAAAATCTCGCATATACTACGGACAGTTTCTTATGTACAATGAAATCAAAAATCTTAATTAGCCATTAATATTTCTTGTTCTGAACATTACATTTTTTGTGATAAAAATATTCTAAGTGTCTTCAAATCTTTTAATAATAATCATTATATATATTGACAATAATCATACATTTTAAAAGAAAAAAGAAAAGCTAAATTAGAAGTAACAAATATCTTTCTGACTTACGTCGGTAAAGTAAGAACCAAACATGAAAGACAATGTAAGATTTTAATACAGTAAACAACATATTAAATAAATCCGAGAAACTGAATTGTTAATCGACTGATGACAATTAAAACTTGTTTATACAACAGTTATCAGTAGACTAACATCTATCGCGTTACAACTGAAATAAGGTTGAGACAAAAGAACTTGTTAGGATTATTTGCGTATACTTGTCAAGTGATAGGCTTGATACAGAAATGTTGTACACAAAGCGATAGTATATAAATAAACAATTAAATCCAAACAAATATCTCTCGAAGGCGAACATGTAATATTTATAAACAATGATATGTTTACAATTCGAGATGAGCTCGGTATTAAATCTGCTTTAACTGAAGCCACTATATTGTTTAAAAAAAACGACCATTATGTTGCAAAAGTACTTTACATATAATAAGTATTGGAT